CAAGCCTTTAATCCCAGCACTCGGGAGGCAGCGGCAGGCGGATCTCTGTGAGTTCGAAGCCAGTCTGGTCTACCGAGTGAGTTCCAGGACAGCCTCCAAAACAATACAGAGAAACCCTGTCTTGAAAAAAAAAATCCTATGAGGACTACAGATACTTGTCTAATCAGGCAACTCACAAAATTGGGTCCAGCGTGCAAGTTTCCTTCATCATTAAAATTCTATTAATTGGAGGAGGTGATGGCAGGTGCATTACTACAATGGCAGTTTTCTTCTACCGTCTTGTGGGTTCCAGAAGTTGAACTCAGACCAAGCATCTTTACTCACTAAACCACTCTGTAGAATGCAAGTTTAATGAACATTATGTGGGGTGCGGCTTTGATGTAAATTCTAATTTCTAGGCCTTTTTAGGCCATATTTTGAAAGGGGAAAGGAGCCAGCAGTAGGGGAGATGGGCGGAAAAGACAGGGAAATGGGAGTAAATATTAGCACATATGTGGAAGTCAGGGGACTACTTGAGGATATTGGTTCTTTTCTTCCACCACGTGGGTCTTAAGAGATTGACAGATGGTCAACGGGCTTCAAGGCAAGCACCTTTACCTAATGAGCCATTTTGCTGGCCTGAAACCCACTTTTTTTTTTTTTTTTTGAGACAGGGTTTCCTCTGTATAGCTTAGGAGGCTGTCCTGGAACTCTTTCTTGTAGACCAAGCTGGTCTTGAACTCACAGAGATCCACCTGCCTCTGCTTCCCACGTGCTGGGATTAAAGGCGTGAGCCACCACCATCCGGCTGAAACCCACCATTTTGTATAATAATTATACACGTTTTATTCTTTTGTGGAGAGAAGTGAAATTGACAAGTGTGTGTGTGCACATGCCAAGACCAAAGCAGGACAAATTTGATGAGCTCTTTGACCACTCTATACCTTTAGTCTCTTGAGACAGGGTTTCTCACTGAATTGAAAGCTCCCTATAGAGTAGACTGGGTAGCCAGTGAGCTCTCAGGATCCACCTGTCTTCATCCCCAATGCTGGGGGAAATGATGTTTACAGCCATACTCAGCAGTTCATGCATGTGCTGGGATTCAAACTCAGGTACTTATGCTTACAGAACAAGCAGCCTTTCTCATTGGGTATTCAGGAGGCAGAAGAAGGTGAATCTCAGATTTTGAGGCCAGCCTGGTCTACAGAGCAAGTTCCAGGACAGCCAGGGCTACACAGAGAAACCCTGTCTGGAAAAACAAAAAACAAATAAAACAACAATAAACAAAAACCCCAAAACACTCCCTTCTACTGCTTTTGTCTGAAATAGAGGTGCTATGACTATTTTATGCCTATAGGGAAAAAATAAGATTAGATATAAATTTTGTCACCAGTAAGCTAAGTATACAGAATTGGAACTGTGACTACAGAAAGCATGTGAGGGTATGGGTACACCTCTGTAATTCTAGCATTTAGAAAGAGGAGGCAGGAGCTAGAGAGATGGTTCAGCAGTTAAAAGCATGCATTGCTTTGGCAAAGGACTCAAGTTCTGTTCTGAGCAGTTCAAAACTGCCTGTTACTCCAGCTCCGTGGGATCTGACATCTCCAGTCACTGTGGGCACCTGTACTCATCCACACACAGATGGCACAATATACATAACTTAAAATTTCTTTAACTTATTATTTTTATTTTATTGGTGTTTTGCTTGTATGTATGTCTATATGAGGGTGTTGGATCTTGGAGATACAGACAGTTGTGAGCTCCCATGTGGGTGCTGGGAATTGAACCCAGGCCCTGTGGAAGAGCAGTCAGTGCTCTTAACCACTGAGCCATCTTTCCAACCCCTGTTGTTTGTTTTTTGAGACAGTCTCACTTTGTAGCTCTGGCTGTCGTGGAACTCACTATGTAGACTAGGCTAGCACTGAACTCACAGAGATTCATCTGCTTTTGCCTCCCAGGTATAGTGATTAAAGATGCATACCATTATGCCCGGCCAAAAACAAAACAAAACAAAAACAAGAAACCAAACAAACCAACCCTGAAAAAAAAACTTTAAAAAAAATGAAAGTAGAAGCAGGAGGATTACAAGTTTAGTGTCATCCTGAGCTATATAGTGAGTTTCAGACCTTCCTAGGATACTGTCTCAAATAAGAGACTGCCTCAAAAAAACTTAAAAAAAAAAGTATAAAAGGCACTGCAACAGAACACATTTAAGGTTATCAGGAAAACTTCTAAAATCAAAGAAATAGTTGGAGAAATCTGGGCTGGCAAAATTAAGAAATCCCTAAGGTAACATCACATGCAAATTGTACAGCCACATGGAAATAGTGTGGCAGTTCCTCAGGGAGCTGGGAATAGGTCACCTCCAGACCCAGCTATACCACTCTTTGGCATATACCGAAAGGACTCCACATCCTATCACAGAGACCCTGCTTAATCATGGTCATTGCTGTCCTATTCATAAACAATTAGATGTCCCTCAACAGATGACTGTGATAAAGAAAATATGGAATATTACTCAGCTGCTAAAAAACATCAAAAAACGAAATCATGAAATTCACAGGTAAGTGGATATAACTAGAAAAATATCATCCTGAGGTATCACAGACCCAGAAAGATAAATATGGGCTGTGTTATCTTATATGTGAATATTAGCTCATTAAATATTAACCACAGTCCATACACCCAGAGGTTAAGATTGGAAGAAGCAACTAGATGAGACACATGGATCTCCCTGGGAGGTAAAATAGAACAGATAGTTATAGATGGGAGGGGCAACTGGAATGGGAAGATCAAACAGGGAGGGAGAGGGAAGAGTAGGGCGAAGGGGGGAATAAAGGGCGAGACTGTGGTGGTTTGAAAGAAAATCACTCCCAAAGGGCGTGGCATCATTACAAGGTATGACCTTATTGGAGTAGATGTGGCCTGCTGGAGCAAGTGTCACTGTGGAGGCAAGCTTTGAGATCTCATAAGCTTAAGCCATGCTCAAAAAGACAGTTCACTTCCTTTGTAGATCAAAGCTACAGAATTCTCAGCTTCTTCTCCAACACCATGTCTTGTCTATACTCACACCGCATGTCCCACTACAATGATGATGGACTGAAACTGAGCTGTAAGCTGCCCAATGAAATGTTTTGTTTTATAAGAGTTGCCGTGGTCATGGTGTCTCTTCACAGCAACAGAAACCCTAAGACAGCTAAAACTAATGATGATCTGAGGGGTCATCTGGAAAACATACAGTAGAAGCTTCATAAGATATATGTCTTGGGTGAAAACCAAATACTACTGTTCTGAAGGAATATAGCAGTAAAACAACTCCTAACAACACTGTGCTATACTTAAATATCAGTGTCTTGCTTGGTCATCAGCAGAGAAGCTCCCTCCTACAGCAGATGGGAACACACACACAGACCCACAACTAGACAGTGTGCAGACAGGGAGAGACCTTGGAATTCTCCGTCCTAAATGGGACTTTCCATCAAATCCCTCCCCTCAGGTGATTGAAGAACCAAGGAAACAAGGTCTTCTAAACACAGCAGGAATGACAGACACACTTATAAAGAGACTGTGGCAGCATGCAATGGTCTAAGCCAGATGGCATCTATCCCAGTGTCGAGAGGGTAAGGGGACAAGTCCCCATACCTAACCCAGAAGCTGTTTCCAATTGATAACCACTCCCAAAGGAAAAATTAGTTTTCTCAACGGAGCCTCACTGGACATACAAACCGCTCTTAAGGGCAGGCTCCGTATTCAGCAGGAGATGACCAACACAAAACAAACACAATGGCATTACTGGAGAGTTGTCTCTCCCATTTTTTTGTTTTTTGAGACAGGGTTTCTGTGTATCTTTGGAGCCTGTCCTGGAACTCGGTCTGCAAACCAACCTCAAACTCACAGAGCTCTGCATCCTCCACCTCCCAGATGCTGGAATTAAAGGCATGTGCCACCACCATCTGGTTGTTTTTCCCCATCTTAAAGGTCTCTGCATATGTATTACTTTACAATTTTGTGTTTTTTATGGGATTTCTATATGTGAATGTGCCTTTCTCTGTATCTATGTTTCTTCTGTTTTTTTCTTTAGCTCTTTGTCTTCTGTATGTTTGGTTACTCATACTATATTTTATTTTATTGTTACTTTTTAGGTGTCTTTGGAGGGGGTTGTTTTGTTTGTGTCAGGGTTTCAATCTGTAACTCTGACTGTCCTGGAACTCTATATGTAGACCAGGCTGACCTCAAACTCAGAGTTCCTGAGTGCTGGAATTAAAGGCACATGCCACTACCTCCATCTGAACAGGAGGGGAGATGGTTGAGGATCTTGGAGGAGTTGGGTAAGAGAAACCCTAATTAGAATATATTGCATGAAAAAAAATTTTCAATTGAAAAAAAAGATACGATCACAAGAATGAAAACTTGTAAGATGGAAACTCCTACAACACCTTCCACTGCATCTTCAGATTTTAAAATGATGTGGTTTAATCCTTGCATATTAGAGGCTGAAAGTGGATAGCATGATGAGTCCCAGGGCAGTCTGGACTATATAGTAAGACCACATTATCAGAAAGGGTGTGTGGGGGAAAATTCGGAGCTAGGAATATAGCTCAGGTTAGACTGACTGCCAATAAAAAGAAAGAGAAAACAAACAACAACAAAAAACCAAGCAAAATAAAACAAAACCCTATAATTATGAAGCAATTTAGGATGCCCGAGTCTTAAGAATCAATTAAAAACATAAAGGGGACCCCCAGATGGCTCAGCATGAAGGGACACTCGCTGCTAAGCATGGCAACCTTGCCTTCTACAAAATAAAAATGGAAGAGAGTGGCAGCTGTACCCTAGGTACTGTCCAAAGCACAACAAAGAATAGATAAAAACACCAACTATGACGAGATGGTTGCTATGAGTTTCTATGGGAGGCCATAATGATGGCTAATTAAATGAAGTTTCTTATGCATCATACTGAGAAAAGACCCACAGAAGCAAAAACAGAGTGACAGAGGCTGGGATGTAGCAAAGCAAAAAAGTATTAGCCACAATATTTATTGAATTTTCTGTCAAGAAGGAAAAGTATGGCTGGAAAAGATTTAAGATCAATAATGCTGAATAATTCTAATGAGTAAGAATATTCTCTATATTCAGCTGTCATCTAGATTGATTTAGGACCTGGAACACACAGTTTTGGTAGGTTCCCAGAAAACAATAGGGTTTGACCTCTGGGTTGGTTTTCTTTTTGAAAAGACTTCATAATTTATGTGTGTGTTCATTTGCACATGTGTATCCAGAGACCAGAAGAAGGAGTGTGATCCCAAGGCTAAAGTTACAGGCATTTATGAACATCTCTATGTGAGTGCTGGGAACTAAACTCTGGTCCTCTGAAATAGCAGCAAGTATTATTAACCACATAATCATCTCTCCAGCCCCCCAGTTGTTTTGAATCTGCAAAGTATGGACCAGTGAGATGGCTGAGTGAGTAAAAGGTGCTTGCCAAGTCATGCCTGATAAGCCAATTTTATCTCTGGGACCCACATGGTAGAAGGATCAAACAGACTCTGGCAAGTTGTCTTCTGATGTCCATATGTGCACTGTGACACATATGCCTTTCCCACTCCCAAGACACACACACATAGAAAACAACCTAAATTTAAAATGACTATACAACATATGCTCCCAAGCATTTGCATTGTTTGTAATCTTGAGGAATTACCAAAACCTAGGAGGGACTGTATTATGACTTGTATCTGAAATGTACCCTGAAGCTTATATATCAAAGACTTGATCCCCAGGGCTGTAGTAGGGGGGAAAATGTGAGAGATATCTGGGTCATGAGGGCTCTGGCTTCATCAATGACTGATTTATTTAGGGATTCACAGCTTAATGTGTTTTGGGGAAAGGACTTTGCTAGTTTGTTTGCTTATTTATTTATATTTCCTTTTACCTAAAAGTTGTGAAAGAGGAACAAGGAGACCATGAGAACTGTACTATGAAACTTAGCTGCTGTAAGTTATTATAGGGTAATCAACTTATCTATACTACATTAAAACAATGTTGCCGGGCGGTGGTGGCGCACGCCTTTAATCCCAGCACTCGGGAGGCAGAGGCAGGCGGATCTCTGTGAGTTCGAGGCCAGCCTGGTCTACAAGCGCTAGTTCCAGGACAGCCTCCAAAGCCACAGAGAAACCCTGTCTCGAAAAACCAAAAAAAAAAACAAAAAAAAAAAACAAAAACAATGTTTATATTCCAAAAGTCCTCATGTCATCAGCTTGCTATCCAGAAGTTTTAACAACCAAGATGAAATGGCATTGCTTAGAGGAAAGAAAACATATCACTCTAGGAATTATCAGGACAGATATCAAAAGTTCAAAATAAACAGTATCATTCAACAGGCCTTCCTGCTGCCAGCAATACCACATTTCGGGGTACATGGACAACATTTCCAGATAGTTGATTTCTCTTGGATATGAATTATGTTTACTAAACACTGAGGATTAAGTTCATGTGTCTTCCTAACATTTCTTACCTTCAAAAAGTTTTCTAACTTTTGGAACAAATGAATTAAAAATACTTAGCAGAACTACAACCTTTTGTATATCTTGTATCAGTGTTTCCCTTCATTGTGAAGTCTCATATTCAGTAAGTTCCTAGAAAATAGTGAGGGCTTTAATATTTCTTTCCTTAATTCATAGTGCATCTTGAATAGGGGTTCTTTAATGTTTACAAAGGAAACTGTCATAACTGGGGGCTGTTCCACATTAGTTTCTCAATATTGTAAACTCCAATATGATGTAGTCAAGACATGAGGGATTAAGGATTTTTGGCATTCCTCCTATCTGAAGTCATTTTGTTCACCATGAGTTATTAGTGTTCTGTTAGTAGGTAAAATCTGCTGTAGGCTTCCCTACATTCTCAACAAAAGGTTTCTCTCTAGTGTGGATTTTTACATGGTGAATGAGGTTAGAGGATGAAGTAAAGGTTTTCTCACATTCTGTGCACTCATAGGGCCTCTCACCAGTGTGAGTTCGGATATGCTCAGTTCGGCTTGAGGAAGTAGTGAAATCTTTCCCACAGTATTTACACTTATACGGTTTTGTTCCGGTGTGAATACGAACGTGTTTAGTAAGGTATGAAAAATACTGAAAGGATTTTCCACATACATCACATTCAAATGGCTTTTCTACTGTATGAGTTTTTAAATGGTCATGCAGCAGATTGTACCTACGGTAGGCTTTCCCACATTCTTTACACTCGTAGGGTTTGTCTCCAGTATGAATGGTTAAATGCTTGCGTAAGTACGAGGAGTTGAGGAAGGCTTTCCCACATTCCTTACATATACATGGTCTCTCTCCACTGTGAGTTCTTAAGTGTCTACGAAGGTATGAGGAAGCGTGGAAGACTTTCCCACATTCACCACATATATGAGGCATCTCTCCACTGTGAGTTTTTCTTACATGGTTATGTAGGTATGAGGAATTGAGAAAGGCTTTCCCACATTCCTTGCATATATAGGGTCTCTCTCCACTGTGAGTCCTCACATGTCTACGCAGATTTGAGTAAGAATGAAAGGCTTTCCCACATTCTCCACACAGATAGGGTCTCTCTCCACTGTGAGTTCTTCCTATATGGTTCCGTAGGTAGGAGGAAGTGAGAAAGGCTCTCCCACAGTCCTTACATATGTAGGGTCTCTCTCCACTGTGAATTCTCACATGCTGACTAAGGCGTGGAGACGAAGCAAAGGCTTTCCCACACTCTTTACATGCAAAGGGCTTCTCTGAAGCATGGGTTGATATATGTGTTATAAGGCCTGACCTCTTAGCAAAGGCTTTTCCACAATCCTTGCATTTATACGGTTTCTCTCCAGTATGAGTTCTAAAATGTTCTACTAGCCTTGAGTATGTAGTAAAGGCTTTCCCACATTCCTTACATTCATAGGGTTTTTCTCCAGTGTGACTTCGTAAGTGTCTGTTAAGATTTGAAGAACGTCCAAAGGCTTTTCCACAAATCTTACATGGATACGTTTTTATGGTGTGCTCTTGAACAGAGGCATCATGACTTGAGTGAGTAAAATGTCCGGTGTTGCAAGTACTGTGAGTTTTCACATGTGTCTTGAAATATGAATGTTCACTGAAGATTTCTCCACATTGTACATAGTAACAGAGTTCTTGTGCACTATGGCTTCTGACCTGTTGATAGAGGAACGACTTACGGTTAGAGAATTTTTCATCCTTATTGAAGGACTCCTTAAGTGAGGGCAGAAAAATGATGATTTTTGCCATTTTGACTACATGCAAAACTCCTATCCTAAAGTCTAGAACCATCAATTTTAATTTGGAAAGCTGCCTCAGTATTTTAGTAGTTTTGCTTTTGAAACAGGGTATTGCCATGTAGCAATGGCTGGCCTGAAACTCAATGTGTAGAGAAGGCTGGCTTGAAACTCACAGAGATCCACTTTCTTTTGCCCTCTGTATGCTAGAATTAAAGGCATGTGCCACCACACCCGACTCCTTGCCCCCCCTTTCTTTTTTTGACAAGGTGCCTAGGTGCCTCTCTTTTAAATAGCTCTGGTTGTCTAGGAACTTGATATGTAGAACAGGCTGGCCTCAAACTCAGTGATCCACCTGCCTCTGCCTCCCAAGTGCTGGGATAAAAGGTACGTGCCACCACCACAGCCGAGCTCATGTTTTCTTTCAAACTGAAAGATAAAACAGTAGTTGCCATTTGATCTAAACTCAAAGTAATTGTTATGATATACACCAAATTGCCTTAAAAGCTAGTATCTGGTTACACATGTGGGGCCATGTATTTGTGGGATTTCTTTCTTTCTTTTTTCTTTCTTTCTTTCTCCCTTCCTTCTTTCCTTCCTTCCTTTCTTTCATTATGCTGGGTAAGGTATGCAGATTTTACTGAGTTTGAGGTCTTTCTCATCTAGAGAGTGAATACCATGCCAGCCAGTGCTATATGAGATCCTGTTTTAAATAAATAATCAAATAAAATTACATTTATTTTGGAGGTGAGAGTATATGTGTCAATGTGCATGATGAGGTAAGAGGCCAACCTGTGGAAGACAATTCTTTACTCTTACCATGTGGGTCCTGGTGATCAAACTCAGGTTGTCAGACCTGAAATCAAAGAGTCTTTATCCACTGAGCCATCTTGGCAGAGGGATCTCTTATCGAACAGGTTTTGTGATAGGTTTGGAACACCCAAAAATTCATTATGTTCAACATACTTCTCAGATAGTCTGCTGCACCCTCCTGGGTGCATGCTGTTTGGCTTTCTAATGAAATTCACAATTGCCTATGAATGAGGGAAATAACAAATATCTCTGGTCAATCTTACTGTTTGTATTCCACTGGAAGTCTGTCTCCTCAAAAATTCCTGACACAATGTTGACTCTTTGGTGCCGAGTGGCATTTCCCATTCTAAAGATAAACAGAAAAAAAAATTAAGAGTTGGAGAAAAATAAATGATCAGTTTCAAAGTTAAAAGACATAGGGCTTTTTAGATTGTTCCAACTGAACCTAACTAGGAAGAAAGAAAAGTGTGATCATTTTGACCAGGTTAATAAATTGACTACACTAAGGATGGGAGTTTTAAATGTTTTATTTCAAACTGACTCTTTGAAAATTAAAACTCATGGCAAAAAAGGAGCTGCTAAGTAGGGAAGACCTGAGTAAAGATATTATCAGCAGACAATAAGCATGAAACACAATAGGTCATTTTGCAAAATTACAGGAAAACCCAAGAAAGCAAAAAATAAGTCTAAGAATTCGTACCTTTTCGGGTACATGCCCATACTTAAAGTCATCAAGTACATCTTTAAAAGATTTCACATTTAAGCCGGGCGATGGTGGCGCATGCCTTTAATCCCAGCACTCGGGAGGCAGAGGCAGGAGGATCTCTGTGAGTTTGAGGCCGGGCTGGACCGACAGCCTCCAAAACAATACAGAGAAATCCTGTCTCGTAAAACCAAAAAAAAAAAAAAAAAAAAAAAAGATTTCACATTTAATTCTAAACATGATCTTCACAAACACTCACCTTGGAGATCTTCTCTGTGCAAATCCTCTTCTTCCAACCAGGAGATCAGGCTAGGTTTGATGACCTCACACCCTTATACATGGCAAAGTGCATTCATGGAGGAAGTTCATGCAAAAGAGTATAAAAATCAGTATAATTCAGGACCTTTTTTGTTGGTGTTCTATTTTGTTTTGCTATGTTTTTGGACAGGGTATCACTATGTAGTCCTGACTGTCCTGGAACTTGATATGTACACCAGGTTGGCCTCAAACTCACAAAAAGCTGCCTGTCTTCTTCCTGAGTACTTTGATTAGAGGTGTGTGCCACCATGCCAGGCCATGAAGCTGTGCTTCTAATGAAAGCAAGGCAATTATTTCAGAGAGGTTAGACAAGCAAACACTTCCCTTTCTATGTCCTGATGATGAATTACTGCTGAATTAACACTCCAATTAATGATTCCATACACTCTAATAAAACACTAATACTTCAGGTCAAATAGAGAGTAAAGTAAAACAAAGATAATTTTACTTTCAAACAGCAGCTACACAGCATCAGACTCATCTGGGTCAAACTCATAAGTAGAATGTACTCTGAGTTTTTTATTCAGTACATCAAAGGAAGAGAATGACTACATTTCTATATTCTTTTCTCTCTTTTGGGGGGACAGTGCTGGGGATTAAATACAGGGACTTGCATATTTTGAGACAGGTTCTCACTATGAACTTTGGCTGTTGTGGAGTTCACTCTATAGACCAGGCTGGCCTGAAACTCACAAAGACACATCTGCCTCTGCCCCCCAAATGCTAGGATTAGAGCTATGCACCACTATGTCCAGCCAATAACTTATGTTTCTAACACGGTGGTTGGTAGTGATGCCATTCACCTAGTACAGCATTTTGAGAACCATCACAGAAAACTAAAAGGTATAGTGGCCCCCACTTATTCATGGTTTTGCTGCATGTGGTTAGTTACACACTACCCACCTGTCCTGGAAATATTAAATGTAAATTTCCAGAAAAGACTCACATAAAGTTGCACACCACTGTGTAGCATTATAGAATCTCACACTATCATGCAAATCATCCTTGTCCATCACAGCCACACTGCACCTGCGACCTGCTTCACAGCCTTTTAGTGCCTTTCTGAGGAGCTTGCTTGTTGCAATACAGTAAAACTTGCCAGGCATGGTGGTGCAAACCTTTAATCTCAGTTCTTGAGAGACAGAGGCAAGTGGCTATCTGAATTCAAGGCCAGCTTGATTTACACAACGAGTTCCAGTTCAGCCATACTGAGACTGTCTCAAAACAAAACACAACACTTGTGCTCATCTAGCCCTCATTTTACTAATGACCTCAAAGCGCAACAGTAGTCATGATGGCAATTCAGATGTGCTGAAGAGACGTTGTAAAGTATGGAGGAAACCTGTACACTGAGGTTGCTAGTATCTACTCTTAGGAGTTATACTTTTCTTTTTTCTTTTTGCAAAACAGGGTTTCTCTATGTAACAGCCCTGGCTGTCCTAGAACTAGGTCTAGGCTAGACTGGCCTCAAACTCAATTCTGCCTTCTGAGTGCTGGAATTAGAGGTGTGTGCCACCACACTTCACTCAGGAGTTTTACTTCTTTTTATTTTTTTCAGAATCAAACAATTTTATTTTCATTAACTCACAAAAAACAATAGTTGGCTCAAGGAGGCAATCACCTGCCCAGTCTCCAACACTACAAGCTGAGTGAATAACTACAGTTAGGACTCTTTCATGGCTATTCTGAAGTAATGGAGCTACTGGAAATAAGGTTTGTTTACTCAGGGTCCACACTTGCACTATAAATTAGGCAGAGCCCATTTCAATTTCTTCAGATGGAAGTTCTTGATTAGATTAAACCATTTGCAATTCTGCACTGTCGCAACACCTTGAAGCCCTCGCAGAGCCTGATGTCACTCTGGTTCTGGGCACATTCCAGAAACTGTTTGACCCCAAGAGAGCATGGCCCTGGAGACTGCTGGCCCAGCATCTGGGCTCCCTGGGGCTCCTGGTAAGTGATTCAGGCCTTGCAGGCTGGGTACTGCCTCCTCCACTGAAGCCCCCAGTGGTGGCGTGACCCAGGGTGTGACCCACTGAAGAGCCCACAGCCACGGCAGCTGCAGTGGTGGCTGCCTAGGTGCAGCAGCAGGGGAGCAACTGCAGGTGGTGAGGCTGAGCTGCAGGCGCGTGTCTTGGAGCAGCCCTCAGCCGAGGGGCCTGGCTGGCCGGAGGGGCCACCCGGGATGAGCGGCACACTCTTCAGTCCAAAGGCGACAAACTGCCGGGAGTTTTATTTCTTATTTGAGTGTTTGGCTTTCATGCTCATGTGTACTATGTGCACACAGTGCCCCAGAAGCCAGAAGAGGCAGTCAGTCCCTGGAGCTGAATTTACAGGTAAAGCTGTGAGCTGCTGTTTGGGAGCAGGGAGCCAAACCTGGGTCCTACGCAAGAGCAACAAATGCTCTTAACTACTGAGCCATCTCTCCAGCATAAAGGTAATTAATATCTACTCTCAACAAGTCTCCAGCCAGATGTTACGGTACATTTCTATAATCCCAGCACTTGGGAAGTGGAGACAGGAGATCAGGAGTTCAAGGTCAACCTTAACTACAATGAAATCTTGTTTCCAAAAATTAAATCTCCAATCTATAAAATCAGGAAAAAGGAACTCAAAATGTTATCACAACTGTATATACAGTTCAGTTCCATGTACAGCTGTAGGCGTCCACTGGGCATCTCGGCTCTAATCTCCCACAGTCAGACTATGGCATTAGGACAAAGTCTGTGTGTCTCTACTCACCACTGCGTTTCAATTCCTCAGCACACCCAGGATACACTGTCCTCCTCCTCCCCCAAGAAGCCATAAGGACTGCTGGCAGTCCTACCTGCTGAGGCCAGGTTCTGGTAGTTTTCCAGCATTACTTCTCTGTAGAGGTCTCTGTGAGCTTGATCCAATAAAATCCATTCTTCTTGGGTGAAGTCCACAGCCACATCATCAAAAGTTACCGAGACCTAAATCACACACACACACACACACACACAGACACACACACACATACAGACACACACACGAGAGAGAGAGAGAGAGAGAGAGAGAGAGAGAGAGAGAGAGAGAGAGAGAGAGAGAGCGAGCTTGAGTAAACAATAGCATATGCACCAATGTTCTCTACAGTTGAGGAAGACAGACCCAATACTCTACATAAATCTGAGAGCTTCCATTGACTGTCCCAGGGCTTGGCGGCCCTAGCCTTGCCCACACCTGCACTCAACTTGTAGCTCTGCTCCGGACATTTACTATTAATGACCATTCTGACAGATGAACAGACCTTGCCACAACCAGACTAGAAGTCCTTCTCTCAATTTCTTAAAATATACTTCTAAGCACACTACATAATTACCTTAATGGTGATAGATAAATACTTCAAAAAAAGACACTAGATCCTCCTTATCATCTGTCAGAAAAACTACACTGTACTGGCCATAAAGTGTAAAGATTAATTAGTAATTATTGAAATCCTGGGGTGATATTCAGGTAATACCTCAACCGTATCAGAGTCCCTACTCTCTCAGAAATCCAGCTAGGTACTCAGTTCTTGAGGGGGCTTTTAGAAGCTCTGGACATAAGTCTGCCCCAAAGAAGGAGTGTCTACAAGGTAGGGGTACGCATGTCATTTGTGAGACACAGTTCCTACATACCTGGTAACAATTTGTCAGGCAATCAGCCACCATCTTTTCTACCTTTATCTTTTCTTCAGTAACGGAGTCTGAGTCTCTTACAAAGAGTTCCTGGAAAAGACAGAAGACATGAGAACCTAGAGCTGCCTTTAATTCTTGTACCCCTTGACATCATTCTGTCTGCCTGTCTCCTTTCCTGTTGCCATGATAAAATATACTGACAAAAGCCACCTAAGGAGAAAGGGCTTATTCTGGCTCACAGTTTCAGGGGACAGTCCATCACATCATGGTGGGAAAGGAAAGGGTTTTAAAGCAGCTGGTCACATCACAATCAGGAAGCAGAAAAGCAATGACTGCATTGCTCAGCTCATGCTCCATTTCCTACAGTCCAGGATCCTTGCCCGAGTTAAATGGGTCTCAAAGGTATGCCAGAGATCTGTCCCCTAGGTAATATTAGAACCTGTTGACAATTAACAACAACCATTATACAACCCTAATATGAAACCCATGCAATCCTGCACACCTGAGAAAACTCACCCACTACACAAACATGTGATGCCAGAGCAGGCCTGTGTCACCTACAACCACGAAACAAACCGATAAACCATGTTACCCACTGGGAAAATGTCCCATTTTATAGGGAAGACAACTTCAAGTCTGAGAGGTAACACTTTATTTTCCCCTTGTAATATCTCATGAGGATTTATATAGTACTTTTCAAAACACACACATCAAGGGCCAGACTTACTCTGCACTATTATGGTTTGGGTATTGAAATGGTCTCACAAATTCATGTGTTGACAGCTTGGTAATACAGCAGTGTGCTCCTCCTTTGGCAGGTGACTGGATCATGAGAGATCTATTATCAATTGACTAAACAACTGATTAGGCTATGGACACATAACTTACTGGGCGTGAGGTAGCAGGATTTAGGGTGTGGGACCTAGATGGAGGGGGCAGGTCACTGGGGTTGTGTTCCTGAAGAAGGTACTGTTTCCGCACTCTTCCTCTTGCTCTGCTTCTGCTTCCGGGCTGCGGAGGGACGAGCAGCTCCGCTTCACAGTACCTTTCCCACCATGCTGTTCTGCGTCACCACAGGCTCAGAAACAGGCCAAGTGAGCCTGGATTAACACCTCTGAAATCTCAGCAATAACTTTTTTCCTTATAAGATGCTGGTGTCAAGTTTTTCTTTGTTTTGAGATAAGGTCTCATGCAATCTAGGCTGGCCTCAAGCTTGATAATGTAGCCAAAGATAAACTTGAATTCCTAATCTTCCTACCGTATCTCTCAAGTGATGGAATTACAGGTGTGCACTACCATAACTGACTTATTCTAGGCAACTGATCTACCAGCTGATCCCAGCCCCAGCTCCAATGCCAGGTATTTTATCACAGTGACAGAAAATTAACACAAGCATCCACTAGTCTACTAAGTGGGCCTAAAGTAAACCAATCAGGGTAGTATGACTGTTCAGGACTAGATCGCAGGAAACTTTATTATTCAGGAGACTTAAATCAAATCCTCTGAAAATGAACAGCAGGTCTGGCCACATCAGTAGTTGCCATCCTGAAGGTGGAATTGCCCATATGCTCCTTTCTCCATGCTACGGCAAGCTCACTTAGGTATCTCAAGGGATGGAGAAACTCTACACTTGATTCGGGGTTATCAGGAGCCTGTTCCTACCAATCATCAAGAGCAACAGTTCATTATCATACATGAGCTCACTTTCCACATATGATGTAAGTAAAAGCTACTAAAGACAGTGCATTAGTTATTAGTAATAAGAGTATTACTAATAACACTGTCAATTTACTAAAGACCAATGTGTGAACGTGCAATATACACGTGTATTTATATATGAACCAGTTGATTTTTTTTTTTTTTTTTTGGTTTTTCGAGACAGGGTTTCTCTGTGGCTTTGGAGGCTGTCCTGGAACTCGCTTGGTAGTCCAGGCTGGCCTCGAACTCACAGAGATCCGCCTGCCTCTGCCTCCCAAGTGCTGGGATTAAAGGCGTGCGCCACCAACGCCCGGCTAGTTGATTAGTTTTAAAAAGTAATTAGATTTTAGTTTGTGAACAGAGAAGTGTCCACCTTGAACATATGGAGGTTAGAGAATAACTTAGTTGGATCTCTCCTTCCACCATATGGGCTTGGGGTCATCTGGCTTGGGGCAAATGCCTGTATCTGTCACAGTGGACATATTGGAAAAACAGGTCTAGACACTGCAAGTAACTATTTCAATATGTTACATGCTGGTGAATTTAGACTGAATGCAGGAAGTTGTTGCAAAGTTCTGATCCTGTCATATTTTGTTTTCTAAGACTAGAATTAGAGACTCTCCTGCTTCAGTTTGTCAAGTGCTGGGATTACAGGTATGAGCAGTCATGCCTGGCTTTAATCTTCTATGCCTCAACAGGATCAGAAGTACAGAAAAGACCTGTACTGTACAATACAATAGTAACTACCAAAAGTACTACTGATCACTTCTATAAAGTCAGGATTCTTTTTTTTGAAACAAAGCCTCATGTAGCCCAGGTTGGCCTTGAACTTGTTAAAAAGACTGAGAATGACTTTTAACTCCTGATCCTCCTGTCTACATCTCCCAACTGTTAGAATTACAAATATGCAACACCATACCTAGCTTGAAGTTAGTATTTCTAAAGGGTATTTGGTTTGTTGATTGGTTGGTTGTTTAAGACTAACCTAGAATTTGAGATGTAGAACAGGCTAGCCTCAAACTCACAGAGATGCACCTGCCCTTGCCTCTCAGGCACTGCCATACCCAGCTGAGCTTTGTAATTTTACGGTACCCTGGTTGACTGGCAATTTTTGTTGTTATTGCTATTGTTTGGTACAGTACTCGGAACCCTGTCCACGCTGGGCAGGCACTCTACTGCTGAGCTACACTGCCAGGTTCCAGTTTACCTTTAACAAGTCTTAGAGACGCACTAACCAAAGAGCAGGCCAACCCTGCGGTTATTTTCTTACTTTCTATATGTGTAACGAGAATACAGACCTTCTTGGCTGGCAGAATCCCTTCAATTAGTTGTCTGGCATATGGAGTGGAGGCTTTTATGACCGAAGCAGACAGAGCTGGGTGTGGCAGCTCCACACACCTGGGAGGTTGAGGCTGAAGGACCACAAGTTCCAAGCCAACTGGAGCGACACAGCAAGACCCTATCTCAAAAGCTGAAGAATCTCCTTCTCATTCTTCACAGAAATAGAAAAAAAAAAACAAAACAAAAAAACTATCTTGAAATTCACATGGAACCACAAAAGACCCTGGATAGCCAAACAATCTTAAACAAAGACCATTCCAGATCTTAAGATTTATTAGAGTCACCGTCATACAAACAATATGGCACTGGCACAAAAACAGACACCCGTGGGTGGGGGGTGGGGGTGGCGGGGTGGACAGTCCAAGAGATTTCTAAAACATAGAGGCTATTTCTATTACTCTTGCTTGCTCTCACCCCCCTCGCCCCCACCCCAGAGATTGAAGGACATCCCTATTGCTAAAGACATCATGAACTTGTATTTATGTATGTAATAGGAATCAATGAAAAAGGAGGCAATAAATTTGAAAGAGCAAGTGGAGGTTTAATGGGATGGTGTGGAGGAAGGTAAAGGAAAGGAGAAATGATGTAATTATAATATCAAAAATAAAAGAGAAAAATTGAAAAAAGAAATAATTGGAGTCTTGGAGGTCCCTACCCCCATGAACAATAAACCAGACATAATAAGTGCTCCTGAGAAGTTTAGAAATGAATATCAACCTTGACAGGCTTGATATAACTAGCAGTCATGCTACTTATTTAACTCATCCTGCACAATTTATCGCTGTCTTCACCTGACCTACAACACTGAGCCTTTCATTGGCCAGATTAAAGGTCCCCGAGTCTTGAAGTAAAACCATTAGCTACATGAACACAGGCAGATGGTCACACCAATTGTTTTGTTTCAGGACAAGACTTCATTATTTAGCCCAGGCTAGCCTCGTGATCCTCTGCCTCACTTTCTGAGTTGTCTCTTTTTGTATCACTGCAATTACTGGCCTCTGCCATATGTACATCTTCAACTGATTTTTCAATATGGTGCACACTGACAAAGTCAATGTCATTGTCTCCATCCTAGTTTGTGATGAACTGAAGGCAGTTCGCACTGACTTGACAAGATGAACAATGTATCTTTACAACACCATCCCTCTGTCTGTCTGCTCTCCTGGTTTAGACAAGTCCCCAGAGGACTTGGCAGACAATGATGCAGCTCACAGGTAAACTATGATGACATTGTGCTGATTGGATTCAACGACAGAAGTGTCAAAATTCTATAATAACTTTTAGAAGAGATACGCAGGTGGGATAGTGGCATGTGACTGGGGAGGCAGAGGCAGGCAGACCTGAGTTCCAGGTGATCATCATCTACTGATTCCATCTACGAACCACGCAGGGATACACAGTGAGACCCTATCTCAAGAGTGGGGCTGGTGAGACGGCATAGCAGGTTAGGGCACCCGCTTGCCTCTGACCGACTTCAATCCCCAGGGTCAACAGAGTCCGGGGCAGCTGCAGGTTACCCTCTTGCCTCCACGTGTCTGTGGGGCATCTTTGCACACACACACAAATATGAGAGTATACTAAAAATATGTAAAGTGAGGCAGATTTAGGGGTGGGATTTTTCTAAAGGTTCAGTGCTGAAATCACTTGAAGATTTCATTTAGGTTATTGCTGCTCATACCAACCAAAATATGACGTAACACTTAACAGATATTTGAATTTGGAATGCAACATTTTCAAGATTTGATTGTGGTTTTTTGTTTGTTTGTTTGTTTGGTTGGTTTTTTTATTTTTTTGAGACAGGGTTTCCCTGTATTGTTTTGGAGGCTGTCCTGGAACTCCCTCTGTAGACCAGGCTGGCCTCGAACTTACAGAGATCTGCCTGCCTCTGCCTCCCGAGTGCTGGGATTAAAGGCGTGTGCCACCACCGCCTGGCTAAGATTTGACTGTGTTTTAACACATCTACCTATAGGGCTCCAGTTTCAAGTGCAGGTCGGACCAAGTTAAGACAACTATAGTAGAAGGGGTTCAGCAGGCAAAAGAGCTTGCCACGGAAGCTTGGAGACCTGAATTCAATCTCCAGAACCCACAAAAGAAAGAAGGGACTCCACAAATCTGTCCTCTGGCCTCCATATATGTGCTGTGGCACATGCAAAGCCACACCCACCACCATACACGTGTAAGAATAATAAATAAAGACCGTAAGGAATATAATAGAAGGTTTTCAGGCACCTGGACAGAATCATTCCGCAGATCCAAAGACATCCAAGTGCCAGACACCAGACAACGCCTTAGCCTTCTTGGTACTTTGAAGCAATCCTAAGCCTTTTGTGTACCTGCTGCAGGCTAAACTCACAGCTTGCCAAGAAAGTTCACTACCATTGAGCTACACATGCTCCAGGCACCATGCCCTCTTTTAAAGATTAACTCCTCTGCTTTTGAGAAACAGTTGTGGCTCACAACCAGGACATCACAGGCTAACTACAGACACGGAGTTACTAAAGTAGAACTGAACAATTCCCAGCTGTACGGCCCAAGAAGCTTATACTACTTACTACCACTCTTACTGCAGCTTACAAACCTCTCCTTTGGAGCCACTGTAAGTAGACAGGGGGAAAAAGGAAGAAAAAGGCATTTTTAAACATCCCAGGAGACTTCAATTAGAAACAGCAAAACCTATGACTTTCTTAAAGAATATGAGACTCTTCAAAAGTTACTACAGAGCCAGGCGCGGTGCCAGACACTAGAAAGCCCAACACCTGGGAGATAAGAGCTGGAGGATCAGGAATTCAGGGTCAGCCTCAATAACATAGCAAGGCTGAGACCAGCCTGGGTTACTTACATGAGACCCTATTTCAAAGAACAGAGACCACGGACATGGATTAGGGAGTAAAGGCCATGCTAGATCTCCAGTACCCAGAACCAATTCCTGAAGACTGTTCTCTGACCTCTGAGCCAGGGTAGTTCCCGTTTTTGAAACTCTCTAAGGTTGCACAGGCCTAGCGACTTCAGAAGAGGGCAGGTTAGAGTACTCTTATTTACACAACCAGAAAGCCATAGTCACACAAAATACTCAGGGCGGGGGTGTGTACAAGTTTTAGTAGCGATAAAGTAAAGAGAGAAAGAAAAGAGAAAGGAAAGGCAAGGAAAAGGAAGGAAAGAAAAAAGGTAAGAAACGATTAAAGAAATGAACATTCAGGGGGGTGTGGTGGCGAACGCCTTTGATCCCAGCACTACGGAAGCAGAGGCAGGCGGATCTCTACGATTTCGAGGCCAGCCTGGTCTACACATCGAGTTCCGGCCCGGCCCCCCCAAAATAAGAAATAAACAGTCACACTCACCCCCAAACAGAAATGCTTACCCCTAGACACCTAAGACTACTCTTCCTACCCCAGTGTCATGTGACAGAATTAAACAGACAATGCCAAAGACAAAGCCACACTCCGCGGGGAAGATTCCTTCACAAACCGCAGCCCGCGGCACTCACTCGGGCTCCACAGTGTCGCCGGGTCCTGCGGAGGAGGCGGCGGCGGCTGCAGGGCGATGCCGAGCGGCGGCGTTCCGTCCTTCTGGAAGACTGGCTAATCTGGAAGGCGGCTTGGGAGTTTTCTGCGGAGCAGGGCCGAGCGGACCGCAAGTCCCGAGGAGGCCGGGAGAGCGCTTGGAGCTGCGGAGGGAGGCGACATGCACGTGAGACCCGCCCGTCGCGGGCCACCAGCCCCTCCGCGCAGACTGCGGACACGGCCACGCCTTAAACTGGCCCTCCACGGCCGCCGTCGCCCCCACCTCCGCAACTCCCTAGGAGTAGAGATGGACCAGAGGCAAAGAACGGTACTGCGAACTACAGAGCTCAGCCATCGCTGGGGAAAAAAAACCAAAAAAATCAGGGGGGCTATGCTGGCGTCACTTCCGCTTCCGTCCTGGAGTGTAGCCCGGGAGATTCGGGTCTCGGCCCCCCTAGACAGAGGCTGACTTCTAGGAGCTGGCAAATGGCCCTGGGGTTGATATTCTCTCCTTTTCTGATACAGTAGTATCTGATACATATAGCAGACTGCCTCGTGTAGCGGACCCATGTTTGATTCCCAGCACCCAGGTGACAGCGCATAGCTGTCTACAGACACGCCTCCATCACGCCTGGTTTAAATCTTTTTTTAAAGATTTATTTATTATGAATACAACATCCTGCCTCCATGTATGCTTGCACGCCAGAAGAGGGCGCCAGATCTCATTATGGATGGTTGTGAGCCACCATGTGATTGCGGGGAATTGAACTCAGGACCTCTGGAAGAGCAGTGCTCTTAACCTCTGAGCCATCTCTCCAGCCCCCTGATTTAAATCTTAAACCTGTCTGTCTGTCTGTCTGTCTGTCTGTCTGTCTGTCTGTCTGTCTGTCTGTCTGTCTGTCTGTCTCGTTCACTCAAGAGACAGAGGCAGGCAGAGCTCTGTGAGTTCAGGGCTAGCCTGCATTGTGACACTGAGAATATTCTCAAGACAAATATGAGTGACTATGGCCCGGAAACAAATTTAAAGTTATCCCAGATTCCACATGCAAATGTGGTAACTGTTTCATGAAATTATATAGTAACAGAACAAAAAACAATAATAAAGTATAAGCCGATAAAAAGTCTTTGTTAACCAGCTGGTGACTACACTGGGTGGTCAAGATCCCAGTGTAGCCCCAGGCTTTCTCAGCGTGAGCTTTTGAGCACAAAAGCCATGTTCTGGATAGACATACCTCAGTTAACAGGAACAGTTTCCCAGAAGCAGAACTATAGAAGCTTAAAAAAAAGTCAGGGTAGTACATTTAGAGATTTTCCCAGAAAGTTTTGGCAGGTGATGTCTTACAGCATGAATGATACTTCCATGATGGAGTCAGGTGTGCTAAGGTCTGGGGTCCTGTTACAGTAGGACGTTTCCTTAGTGACTGATGTGGCAGTGTCCAGCCTATTGTGGGGTGTGTCACCCTGGGCTGGTATTCCTGGGTTCTATAAGAGAGGAGGCTGATGGGGGCTGAACAGATGACTCAGCAGTTAAGAGCACTGGCTGCTCTTCCAGAGGACCTGGGTTCAATTCCCAGAACCCACATGGCAGCTCACAACTGTATGTAAACTCCAGTTTCAGGGGATCTGACACCCTCATACAGAAAAATAAATCTTTAAAAAAGAATTTGGTGGGTGCAGGGGAAGGCTGAGCAAGTCATAGGAGCAAGCCAGTAAGCAGTACCCCTCCATGGTCTCTATCAGTTCCTGCCTCCAGGTTCCTGTCCTGTTTGAGTTCCTGCCTCGCTTTCCCCCAATGATGGATTGTGCTGTGGAAACCTAAGTGAAACAAACCCTTTTCTTCCTAGCTTGCTTTCGTCATGCTGTTTAATCACAGTGACGGAAGCTCTGACTGAGACAGGTCTCTTGTTAATCACATCTAATTCTTTAGTCTAGTTGGCCAGAAGCCTTCAAACTTACCATAGGAGCAACTCTTAAACTTCTCTCTGAAATGCCACAAGCTATCCCTCAGTTGTTTAAATTGCTCTCTGCATCCTTATCTTCCAAACTCCCACAGAATATCTCATTAAGCGTAAGTTTCAGGCAGTCTGCTATATGTATCAGATACTACTGTATCAGAAAATGAGAGAATATTGAACCCCAGAATATACAGTAGATAAGACTTTTAATTCTGAACTAACAGGATGGGTATTCTGGGGAGTGAACTATACTAGACACTGGGAAGATTGTACCTCCTCAAAGAATTCAGCCAGTGAGAAATTCAGGAGACAGATAGGGAAATACAATTAGTAATATAAAAGCCACTGTTTGTGTTTTAATATCCTTAAAAAGCATGCACTTATGTATAGTGGTAACAAGGTTGACAACGGACTGCTGGACACAGGTAAAAAAAACTGGGGAGCAGTAAAGATCCCAGAAATGGGGAGACCCACCCGAAGCAGGATGGCCACAGTTGTGATTGTGAGAAATGTCAAGCTGTGTCTTGGAACTGTTCTAGTTGTGTGTAATTGTTCAGAGTGGTCAGATAGTCTGCATAAACCAGAGACTTTCTGGCATCCCAGTGGCTCTTTCAATAAGAGATAATCTAGTGCTGCTCAGTTTTGTGATACAGCTGTCTTTGTTTTGTTTTGTTTTTTGTTTTGTTTTTTGTTTGTTTTTACGAGACAGGGTTTCTCTGTATTGTTTTGGAGGCTGTCGGTCCAGCCCGGCCTCAAACTCACAGAGATCCGCCTGCCTCTGCCTCCCGAGTGCTGGGATTAAAGGCGTGCGCCACCACTGCCCGGCTCATGATACAGCTGTCTTCTCCTAGTTCTTGATTTAATCCTCCTAATATTTGAGCTGTTATATTAGCTTTGTTAATAGCCCAGGCCAGTTTTGTAGTCTTCTGCTGAATTCCTACAAGGCCAGGTACAAGCAGAAGAAAGGTAGCTACTGTAGCTCTCTCAGGCATGGACGTAAGCGTTAAATGGTCATCACGATCAATGAACATTCTGTGCATAATGCAGTCAGTGTGGAAAGATGTGACCACGGGCACATAAACCAAAAACATTTCCTGCAGAAAAGGGACCAGTCCACAGGTAAAGCTTTTCAATGCGTTAAAAGTTAGTTGTGTACAACCCCACACTGAGACTTTTCCTCAATGTGTCAAAACATAAAAAAGAGTTATAGAAGACAAAAGACATGGAAGCCCTTGAATATCCCTTAGGCTGGAATGTGACATTGTCCCTAGCAATGTTAACATATTCAATAAGAGGAATTCCTAATCCCACCAAATTTGTCTTTAATTAATTTGGTATATATCTGGGCAGTGGTGGTACACTCCTTTGGTCCCAGCACTTGGGAGGCAGAGGCAGGTGGATTTCAGTGAGCTTGAAGCAAGCCTGGTCTATAAAGCAAGTTCCAAGACAGCCAGGACTGTTACACAGAGAAACCCTGCCTCGAAATCCCCCCCCAAATTGATGTAGAAGGGTCACCAAAAATGAAAAAATAGTCTTATTAAGCATCCAATAGCCAATTGCAGCCATAGATTATTGCCTAAGAGTCTTATTGACCTTATAGCTAATTCAGGGATGGACATATTACTGTGTGCTATAATAGTATCTTTTTTTTGTCCTTTTCCCATTTTTGATAATGATGTAGCCCTTGATGCCCAAATTCAGCTTGTAATTTAAATATTCCAAAAATCATTATTCCCATTTTTTATTGATAAGTTATGTCATATCATATTCTCAAACTCAGTTTGTTTAAAATTTACTCCTTCCTTATCGTTCTAATTAACAATGCCAACCTCCAGAGTTCCATTAACATGAACACTTGAGCATCTCAGTACTATTGGTACTTTGGTGGCACCTGTAACTTTAGAGGTGGACAACTTAGTGTCATTTTCAAAAGAAATGAATTCAGGAGTTATATCAGGAGTTACAGCCTGATGATTTTACTTCAAGGTTCATTCTGCTTCCTGACACATTCTCTTTTTCTTTTCCTTCCTTCCTTCTTTCTTTCTTCCTTTCTTCCTTCCTTCCTTTCTCCTTCCTTCTTTCTTTTCTCTTTTCCTTCCTTCTCTCTCTCTCTCTCTCTCTCTCTCTCTCTCTCTCTCTCTCTCTCTCTCTCTCTCTCTCTCTCTCGCTTTGTTTTTCAAGACAGGATTTCTCTGTAGTTTTGGAGCCTGTCCTGGAACTCAATCTGTAGACCAGGCTTGTCTTGAACCCACAGAGATCCACCTGCCTCTGTGTCCCAAGTGCAGGGATAAAGGCATGTGCCACCCATGCCCGGCTCTGACACATTTTCTTAATCTGTCCCCACACAGGGATCTTGGTTTTGCTGGATGAGACTGTCGAGTTGCCTCTTCTTTTTTCCTGGTGATCTTCATCTTCTTGAAGGATGTTTTGAATGGGTCCTTATGTTGAAACTCCCATTGCTTTACAGTAGTGGTTTATATGCTGTTGTGATATTCACAACAATTGATCTGAATCTGAAACAACACAAGCAAACCCACCTCTCCATGTCTCCATGTATCTGCTATGCCATTCTTTCTCAGATGGGCAATACCACCATATAGTAGTTTTTAGCTTATATTTTAATGACTCTCCTGTTTCTTTCCAATGGTTTCAGCATAGGGTATGTTGTGCTCATCCAAGATTTCAAAATTTGGAGTTTACAGAGATTTCAGAAGTTGGTCATGAGGGGAAACTTGGAGAACTGCCCCCATTTAGCTTATCAATATAAACCATCAAGGGTGATGGTTTGCTTTAGGGTAAACTTTGACAACATATAGAAGACTACATAAAGGGAGATATAAATTAGTCTCACCCTCCATTCTTGTCTGTAAATTAATTACATTTGTTTGAATGACTACAAACATAATTCTGGGCATACTAAATACATTTAATTGTCCCGTGCCACAGGACACTCGGATCCTTCTGCAGTAAAGCTTTAATGCATCTTGAGAGATAGATGATCAGCTTCTGAGGGGGAGACCCCAAGCTAAGAAACCCAGCCCCTTATATAAGCCTAGGAGCTCCGAGTGAGAAGTGAGACGTGTAGAGCCGGGATTGGTGGTTTGCTCATCACCCCAGATGACGCCACGGGAGAGGCAGAGCTTAAGCAGTGGAAAAACACCTAGCACATGCGTACCAAGGTTGTTTACTCCAACCAACAACGGATGTCGGCGCCATCTTGTAATGGCGATAGCGAGGGCGGCTCCTCACATTTAATGATTTATAAAGTAACAATACTTTTTAAATTACCTTTTAATAGTTTATTATAAATAAGTAATTTTTGTAAGATTAGAATTTTATAAATTAAGGTAATTTATCCCCATTAAGATTTGGGTCTTAATTGAGAAACTTGGAAAATTCCCAGGAATCCACAAGG